CTAACTTTTCATATCCTACGAAAGCCGAATTCATTCTATCGCTTTATAATTCAATCCATTCAAAATAATTCGATGTCAATTTCACCTCGATAATGGCTGTTTTAAAAAAGATAAATGGTTGTTCAGGTCTGCAAATACACTCCAAATAGCAGATTTTATCCATCGAGTTGTCTTGTTGCCATTTTTTTAGGCAATAAATTGTTGTGAAACGAGTAAAATGTTCCGCAGAATGTTCCGCCATTTTTGTTTTCACAACAAAAACAACTCAACCTTGTTCCCAGGTCATCTCGGTTAACGATGCCTTAACCTACAAGAACGCTGCACTTTTGACGTCATCGGTTCATTAAACGCAAATTCTTCCAAATTTGATCATTAGTAGCTGGTTATGGTGATTTATGTGTGCTCCTTTAGCCAATCAGAATCGGGGAAATATTTTGAATGAATAATAACAGGAGCCTATCAAATGGAGCCTCCATCTCCCATACAAGCCCTTGGAGTCAACCCTTTCCCGAGTAGATTTATAATTAGAACGGTTCCCAGGGGAGACTTCGCGTGCCGACGGTGGGAAGAGCCAATCACAACGACTAAATGACACTGCTATTGTACTTCATGAAACAGCAGGAAATCCGGTGCTGACAGGCCAAACAAAATCATAAACGTGAAACGTGAAACGTGACTTTAGCGTTTTTATCCGTCAGAGATTTTCTTTCTTTTCTTTCTGGCGGGTAGATTATACTGTGGAGAGTTTTAAACTCGGACTATGTTAATCTTAATTTTGGTTGCTTGTCTCACATTTATAAGAGGCCATGAAGATGATCTGTTACATGCGTAATGATTAACTACTACCTGCAGTCCGTAGTTCTGACAGGATTCGTTTTCTTTAGCCAATTTTTTAGCGTTAAAGTTCTTATTTCGGCTAAATGACTCAATATTAATCAAATTTCTAGTTTTTCAAGTTTTTCTCCGAAATGCGTTTGTCTGAATAAATACTGTGGTTGTTTTGTCCGTCAGTTACAGTATGTTGCCCAGTATCCGGACGGTACCAGTATCCGGACACTTAAAACAAAAACTCAATTTTTGAGGCGCCCTTTTCAGTTATCGGTAAACAAAGTATTTCAAATGAAAGCTGAACATTTCGGCTTTAAGATAAAGGCTTTGGCGAGTTGAAAGCTTGCGAAACAGTCGCAGAAGACGCCGTTCCGTTCAGGTGAATAAACATTTCATGGCTAATATTTACGCTGTTTACTGCGCAGTAAAATTAGTGCTGCTCAGAAAAGGGTAGGTAATATGTGATATTTTCAAAGAAACGCTTTCAAATTTAAATTGAAGATACTTGAAGAAGTCAGGTTCTCAGAAAGTTTATTAATTCTTTTTGAAATTCGATTTGTTTGGAATAACGGAGCCCAGAAACATTCACTAAGTATTGATGTCAGGTTCCCAGTATCTGGACAGCTTTTTCTTTGCTATACAGAATCGATGAATTAGCTGCGTACATTATCTGGATAAGATTTATTTCATATCTATAACAATAATTAAAACTTAGGATATATGATATAGTCGTAAAATGTAATTCTACTCAACTCCGTACGGAAATTTTCTTCACTCATTCGGAGGCGACTTGATTTCGTGTGCGCCGCTTGTTTCGCGTGACTGCATTTTCTATATATAACCGAAAGTGTCGTAGTTGAACCTGGAATTCTCATACTTTTCCCACTTGTGACTGCTAGAATGGGGTTGCAACGGTCTGAAAAATGTCACAAATGGATTGAGAGATGTGAAAGAAGGAGGAATTAGTGCCAGAAAAGCAGGCTTATTGTAGGGTCTGTATAGGGACTGAGCATAAAGCAATCAACACTGCAGGTCAGACTAAACAGGAGAGTGACCTCTGACCGTCTCAATGAGGTCCCTTCCCCAAGCTCTTTTTCTAAATAAAAAATGAAGAAAAAAAGTCGTTTGCAGATTGGCTAATTGAGCTACAATCTTGGACAAAACTGTTGAGAAAATTGCGTACTTGGGGGCATTTTTTCTTAACGTCGTAGCCGACCGATTCTTCCCTCCCCCCCTCCCCCTGGAAGCAGTGTTCTTGGGTCTTCAAAAGAAAGCCGGAACCCTAAGCATTTGTAGGAAGCAACTTTGAACTGGGGGAGGGGGTTTTCGTTGATTTGGAAATAGTTTTGTTGCGTTAGGTAGTGCACAAAAATGAAAACATTTTCTCAAGTAGTTTTGTCCAGGATTGTAGCAAACTGGGGCTTCGGCATGTCCACGGACGTGTTCCTTAAATCAGTGAAAAATTTCCTAGACAAGGAAGTAAGAATTGTGCCATTTAACAACCGCTCGCGTTCCCCTCCATACCCCAGTCATTTGTTATATTTTATTTCACGATGCTAGGTTATATTTTTGGAATCGATTGCCAGACTACTTTGCAAGAGCGAGAGAAGCTTATAAGTCGCTTGCCTGTCGAAATTTATGTACAATGACGTTGTTATTGTTGTGTCCGGATACTGGGCCAGCTGTCCGGATACTGGGCAACATAGGAGCTCTACAAAAATATTAATTTCACCATGGAAACAAAGGCAAAAAAGTTAAACTGTATTTCGTCATATAAAGGACTAAATAGATTTTCTCTGGGCCAAATTTCAGAGCTCTTGCGACTAACAAAGGAAAGTTATTGATATTAAACTGAAGTGTCATGATACTGGGCAACATACTGTAGTGATGATTCCCTGCTATGTTTTGTAACGTCGACCAGCCATTGTTTTCTCGCAAAAAAGTGATCTACAGATGCGAATTCGAAGGAAAGAATTGGCCTAAACTTCTACATTAACTGCTGAGAATTCTCCTGTTAGTCAGTCATAGTTCTTGGGGCGCAGATACAATCCATTTTCTTTTTCTTGAGACAAGTGGGTCGATCTTTGGACTGGAGCGCGATGTCACAAATTCCACCATTAGCAAATTACTTTTGAGTTAACTTCGAGGTCGAGCAACTGTTGTCTTCTGTTAAACTTTTCAAGTGCCAGTTTTATCAGGCAACTCTCATGGTGATACAAGTCAGTTGTAAAGGAAGACTGCAATTTTTCTGAAGCATTCCTCCTTAGTTGCTACTTAGGTCATCGCTTTTGCACGCGGTGCTTAACTGGCGAAATCCACTCCACGGCGATGACAAAAATCAAATGATCCTGGCACTTTTTCGGCGCTGATCATCGAAAAGTTTCAAATCGTCCACAGAACGCTTAATCGTCGACTCTTTTCAAGGTGCATGCTTAAATGTGGGATGTATGACGGCAAAAAAAAAACAAACAAACAAACAAACACTCGCAAAGAACCTTTCCGTGATCCTCAGTTCGCTGCCTTTGTCCCATCGCTTCATGCTCAGTCTCAGTCGGGTAATTCATTAACTTTCATTTCATCCCAGAGCCTAGCGGTTGTAAAACTATAAAAATGGACGTATAGTAAAAAAGGAAAACGGTCGAAGGACGGGCTTCTGAGTTCGACTTCATCCAACTTCATTTTTTTCACGGTGACATACGAGACTCACGGAAATATGACACTTTTCGCGGGAAACAAGCCGTTCTATTTATAAATCTACTCGGGAAAGGGTTGACTCAAGAAATTGATGGAGATGGAGGCTCCATTTGATGGGCTCCTGATAATAATATGTCTTAATCTATCCCTTTATGACTTACGGCATTATTTTTTATCTGTGGCAGCACCTGCGAAACAATTCTTATACCACGTGCACTAACTGTACCCAAAAGAAAGCCATCCATATTATTACGTCTTATAAATTTGACAGCTACTCCAGTCTTTTTTTAAATCTCTTCGGATAATTAAGTTATGTGATCTTGTCCCACTCTTTATATTATTTCCATTTTTATTTATAAGTTTAATAATACAGGCTCCTTCCTACTACATTTCATTCCTGCTTCACTAGAGTAACCCATATCCATAACAAATATACTAGACTTGCAGCAAAACAGTCTTACTATCTTCCTTATGCCAGAACAAAATTAATTATGGCAAATTTAATAAATACTAGGTTAGCGAAACTGAAACTCCTTAATGAATCTATTTATTCGTTTATGGACATTTTAATTTTAATTAAATAATTGTCCCTATTTTAAATTAGGCGTGCTTGAGTACAAAAATAAATAACTTTACATTACGAGTTTATTGGCTTTGCAGCAGTTTAATTCAGGTCGCGTAAGTGCCAGCCTGGGTTACCTGTGTCCGAAGCAGCCTCATTTGACATTTTTGGATGTATGTGTGTACATCACCGCATTTGCGTCTATTTCAAGTATGGCCCTCCAAATCGAGATTCTTTCGTTCTTTCAATCGATTTAGAAAGAAAACAAAAGAACACTCAGAAAACAAGTAAAGTGTGATGTGGAAAACTTTAAGCCCGGGATAAATCCTGTTTTGTGTAGCAAGCCACGTTGTTGCAAGGGACGGGTATAAATGCAAGTGAAGGTAAAAAATTCCCGTGAATTGAGGCGATACCAGCTACTCAACGTATTTCAAGCAATTCCTGGAACTCTACGGTAATAAGGTCGGTGTTTGGGCTAAATTTGTATTTAACGAGGCTTTGTATGTTGTAATTTAATTTGCTTAATTGATAAATTGCTTTTAGCTGTTAAGAGCTTTTCTAGAAAGTGTGACAAGGTTATTCTACCTTGGTAGTAAAACGTTTTATACACGACTGAAGTAAAGACTGAGAATTATTTGATACACTCATGAAGCGTTATGAACCAGTTTAGTATTGAACTCGATTGGAAATTCATTCTTTCACTCACGATCAGCGTGCTCTTAACTTTATCGTGGACAGGTTTCAGACAAATAATACGGTGATTTATTCTCACGGACTTTTTTTCAATGTAGCTTGATATTGTTTTTTAGTACGTTCGAACAGATGTTAACTGCGTGCATTATTTTATCATTGTTGCCGAGCACAGGCGTGCTACAAAAAGATCTACCACAATGTACCGCAAGCTAAGAAACGTGGATCATAGCAAAATGGAACGTACCTGAGGAAAGTCTATCTTTTTACATTCTGTTCCGGTAGTCCAAGAGTCCAGGGAAGCGGTTCCGAGTTGTGCTCTTTTGGGAGCAGATTGTAGGGCAATCCAGTTTATCTCAGCAGTTGAATTTGAGCCGTTGCTGTACTCGTGGATACAAGCGCGGAATTGAGTTCTATCTGCCGATTCCACCCAAATAGCAGCACCATTACCACGGGCCTGGTTGTTAATTGAGTGACCAAAGGAAGCAAAGACTTTTACTTGCTTTCCACCAGAGAACGATTCAGCAAATGTGATTGTCTCACAAGAGAACAACCCTGGACTCTTGACAGTGATGTTGGTTTTTCCAGCTTTGAAACTGATTGCTATTATAAAGAGCAGAAAAGAGTCTTGGTAAAAGTAAACTCTCGTTGCCTCTGGGCTATTTACGGTGGCTGCAATATATATTTTTAATAATTTCAAAACGCCTTGAGCGCAATGGCCTTGAACAAAGTTCCGTAACTTGGGCTTTCCTTGCGCGCCCGACCCTGATTCCTGCGTCCTTTCTTGAAATGAAACTTTCATGAATTCGACCATAGAAAATGACCATCAAATATCAGTATTTAAAAGCATATTCGCGAAACATTTCCATCAGCAAATACGTCATGGTAAAATACGTCATGGTACCTTGAGCAAGAAGCACAGCAGTGCATACCGCTTAGAGGACAAACGGAAAGTTTTGCTCTCCCACCATCTTGGCTTAACTGAAGAAATGCTTCCTCTCATGCGAATAGTATACAGATTGTCTTTACGTGAAGACATCATTTGTGTTTCGTGGACAGATTGTGGCGAAGTAAAGCACTGAATTACCTAAAATGGACATAATTTATCATAGTCCTGAAGTTAGGGTCGAGTAAAAGGGGGGAAATTACTCGTCGGAGAATTGGCCTAAGTATTGCAGTAAATCATTCTGATTTCACAAAAAAAATGACCAAAAATGGAAGAGGGAAGAACTTACAGGAACTCCCTCCGGCCCCTTCTCCTTCCAAGTTTTCCTCCCCCTCTCACTATTTTGCCCCTTAGAGAACAGTGGTTTAATCCTGACTTTTTAAATAAACTTTTATGATCTTCCATGCACTTATACATGTATATCATTAGTTACTGTCCACAAACAATAAGGGAATTTTTACATATACTAACCTTATTTCTTTAACTTCCCCTTTTCTTCCAAAGACAACTTATCCAACTGCATGTTAAATGTTTGACAAGTGTCAAGAGTTGCAACTTCCTTTTGTGTCTGATATATTACAAAGCTCATTGGCTGTTTATTCGCTTCTCTCAAAACGCGCACAGAAAATCTGACTTGCTCCATGCATGAAGAAAAAGTAAAATTAAGTTCCATCACTGCACTGCCATGCCAAAGTGATACATAGTGATTGTTTATGCATTACTACTGTGAGGCACTTGTCAGTTTGTTTTTCAAGACGTCTCAGTTATATCCTTTAGTGTCTTTGTGTATAAGCGTCGAAAGAGGAGATTAGCGATCAATCCTTTTTTTTTTTCTTTTTTTTTTTTCGAATTAATAAGCTTTCCAAAGCTTTAAAACGTAAAGGGAATGTTTGGTATTTGTAATGTAATCACAACAAAAAATTATGATTCAAACCAACGAGGAAGCAACTTAGAAAAATTTAGATGAGCAACTCACCTACGGGAGTTGTTCCCCTGAAACTGGAAATACTAGTTTCAAGTTGGGTGATTAATGCCATTTGCATTCTTCAAATTCTATCGCTGTCGAAAATGATACCCATCACCCTAGCAAGGCTGTCTTCAATTCACAGCAGTGCTGATGGCGCGATTAGCAAGCACTAGTCGCGGCATCTTCCCTTGCTCGGCGAGGCGGTTCCGTCACCAAATAGCGCGCTTATTAGCTACCTCCCATTCCCTCCTCATTTCATCTAGTACACTCTTGGTCATTTTCCTTCTGATACTGAAAATCTAAACCTTGGTTTGAACATGAAAAGTTAATGCTTTGTTCTTTGCTTGGAGAAAATGGCCAATAGAAATTCCTGCGTAACGACGTTTACGTGATTTGATTCAATCCGTTCTCAATACCGCTGGGTTCAGTATTTTTCTTTTTTTTTTTTTCACCAATAGTTTAATAATTCCTTTCGTTTTTCGGAAGTATACTTCCCAATATAATTCCACCGTATATTGTTGCTTTGTTCACGGTTCTTTACAATAATCTGAACTTCAGAAAGGAGAAGGTCATCCATAATGACTTGAAACCTACACGCACAGCACTAATCACCTGAGGTTTAGCACGTTTCATTACCTTTGCTTCAGTCTCGATTTTTTGTCTCCACATTTTCTTATGTAGTGTACTTTTTTACCGATTGTTATATGTCTAGTAAGGTCAGTTGACTAATCATTTATGAACGCTGACACCAAAAATCTCTTCACTAAAGCACACCAGGCCGGTACATTTGATAACATACGCACAACGAATCGATTTCAGGCTCCTTGGGTTTTTCAAGAGAGAATGTGTGGTCCCGACCTTCTTTCTCTGTTGATGTGTACAGATGGTGCTTATTAAAGCTCTGCAGTCATTCTACAGTCTTAAATGACAGCATGAGGTCAAAATTATCGCTACAGCGAAATTAGACCGTTCACAGACTTCAGAGATCGTCGAGCGCGTATGAAATAAAAACCGCGGGTTATTCACGCGTGCTCGTCGATTTTTGGGAAGGCACAAGCAGAAGCATCATTAGAAATAACCTTTAAGTGTACAACGCTGTTTCAAAGCGTTTTTTTTTTTTCTGAGAACCAATCAAAACTTACTTCGTAACTAATTTGGAATCACCGATACGGGAGACTGTCGCACTTATGTTATGAAAACTTTGTCTCGAGATGTAAACAAAGCGCTACAAGGGGCAATAACAGTTTTATGAAGTAAAATTTGACGAAAATCGGAATTCAAAATGGCCAGGGTAAACAGACAAGACAAAGACGACTAATCATAATAAGCATCTACGGGCCTGGAACTTGGTTACAAAAGCTTGCGCGTTTTCAAAAGAGTGTGTGTCAACATTACGCGACCTTATTTTCACCCGATAGTTTTCAAAGGTTGCTATGAATAACATATAGTATATTTTTGCAATGATCACTGAGACGGAAAACTATTTAACGATTTTTTACAGAAATTTTTCGCAAAGAAAGTTATTAGTGCATGCCATAGTGCAGCTTAGCGCGGACAAATGACAACCCACTTGTCGGCTCCGCTACCTCAAAATATAAATGTTTTTGTCCTTTGAGTTTGTTCTGTGAAAAAAGTTAAACGGCGGAGTGTGTAACTGTTGAGTTATGGATGTACTAAGAGAACTGTTTACGGGCTTAAAGGATACAACTACCCTTCAGAAAGGGATGCCTTCAATTCTCTGATTCCATATTAGGGCAAAAAAAAAAAAAATCCGTGCTTCTGGTTAGACGGCTAAAAGACCCCAGCATGTTTCTAAACAAATGAAAGGAATTGGACGCTTCAGGGTTAGATATATGAGTATATGATTCTGGGGTACAGGCCAAGGCTACAGTCAAAAGATTGATGCTTCAGATCAAGAAATGGTCTAAATGTTATAACCACACTTAGCAGGCGGGTAATCCTGTGTAGTAAAATTGCTTGTTACTTCAAAAATCCATGTCTTAACTTTAATTATCCCCCAGAAAGACCAGCTTTCCTCGCTCCAGCAATTGATGTGATACATCCTCATATGTGAACGTTAGCGTTAGGCCAAAAATTATATGTACTATGCCCATAACACGTTGTGAAGGCGAATTAAGTGCAAGTCCATTGCACCGCCTTTACTTAACAGCTATATGACCTCATCGATTTGGAAAAGTCGCATATCAAGCCCTGGGGATCATATGTCTTATAGGAATTGTCTACCGATGTATCGGCCGATATCTCAGTCGACTGTCGGTCACATATGGGTAGCTACATCGGTCGAGTGTTGGTGGTGAGTCGGTCAAGGGTTAGTCGATATCGGTCGATATATCGACAGCCATGTCGAACGACAGTCGACCGAGGTAGATCCGTGTCGGTGATCCGTCGGCGAAGTAACGACCAACCATCGACCGACTGTCGACTGATGGAGTGTAGCAACCAACTCTCGTTCGAGACTCGATCCACCGAGACTCGACCAACGTCCTCTCCACCGATATAGCGACCGATATGTCAACCGACAGTCGACCGAGATGTCGGCTGATACATCGGTCGGCAATTCTACGTTGCAGAAGAAATACAAATGGAAAATCTTCTAAAACTGTCACAGTTTAGCAATGGGGAACTTACAAAACTACGACGTCGACGGCAACGGCAACGTCAAAAAGCAATAGTTTTTAGTTAGCAAAACAACGACTCTGCACGAGCATCACGCTTTTTTTTGTACATTCTTTTGCGGTCTCTCCACGACTACCACGTGAAATGACCAAATTTTATTATTTTTTTTTTTGAGGACGGGAACGGCAAGGCGATAAATTCTACCAGGTATGGGAGCGCTATAAAAAAAATGTTATAATAATAATAATAATAATAATAATAATAATAATAAAATTGGTAAAATCTTTATTACAAAACCGCAATTAAAATCCTATTTACAATCAACCTGCTGTTACAAAAAATCTAATCAATTTATCAAAACACTATCTACAATTCCTTCATTAGAGAACAAAAACAATCCTATATATAATAAGTGAAGAAAGAGAAAACTATTCATTTACAAATTCTAAAAAATTGAAGTAACTTAACCTTACATAAAAGAAGAGGAAATAGATATAATCAATAATAAAAGTTCAAAATTCTTTAAAATTAAGAATGCCATTATGCAGAAATATCAAGATCATACAATCGAATTATACTAATGACGGCTAAACCAGTGTCCATAAAAAGCCCTAAGTATAAAAGCATATAGACACGTATTTCAGATATCCGCACTAGCGACAATTATTTTACAGTCTAATGATTGCTCTATCTTGCTACGAAACGGCGTTCGCGAACCTCTGACGCATGCATGTACCGATCTTAAGAGTTCAAACGAGATCTGTGTCCTGAGCCAAGTGATTACAACATGATAAGGCTCGGTGTCTTTCTGAGCTATCTTGTCTGCGAGATGCTTTAAGAACCGCTGACGCTCGTTTCCCATTCCGCCATTGGTTCCAAACACTAAAGGCGTAAACGAACCCATTTCTACATCTAACACCCGCTGCTGGTACTTGCGCTTCTTCTCTTCTTCTTGCTCTTTGAACACTTCCGATGTTGGCTTGCTCTGGTAACACTTGGAGTTGACGTGCGTAACTCTAACATCAAAAAATGCCGTAACTCCTCT